CATATGTCTAAAGGATATACATCAGACCAATCTTGACAATTTGTTTGAAATTGTATTTGAAGATTTTTGAAATAATGATTGGTTGAGTGTATCGTTCCTGTAAACGTCATAGATTGCAAAGGCTTCTGTGCTTCCACAAGTTTACCAAGTAAAGATGGAGGAAGGATAGAAGTGTCTAAAGTTGTTTGAGATGCTCCTGTATCAATAAAGGCAGGGAGTTGAAATTTCATGCTTCTAATATTCAGAAGGACTAAAACATATAAGTTTTTTAAGACTTTCTTATTACAGATTATGGGTATAACGGGAGTTATAGCCATAAAAGAATTTGAAGTTGAGCCTTTGTCATTTATGAGGATTCCTTTATTTTTTGGAATTGGAGGTTTCCAAGAAAATTCAGGAAAATCTTTATCATAGTCTTGATGTGGGATTTGTTGAATATGTATTTCTAGATTTTCAACACGGTTTTCAAGAGTATGAAGTCTATCATCCAGAATTGTTATCTTGTCAGTTTTTAGCGGTTGAACCACTGGTGTTGGTATTCTGTGTTTATGAACAGAAGATAAACATGAATAACAAACTTCAATTCTACAAAGATCACAACGTGAACGCTTCTCAAGAGAAGGATACCAAAGGCAATTGTAACACTTAGTGTTTGTATTACCTGTATTATATGACCATGTATGAATGCAGTCTATTATTTCAATATTAACAAAGTTTAGATTTTCAAACATTTCAACTTCTGATTCAAAAAAATTWTGATAACCATATTTCTTTTGTAAATCAGTTTGAGAAGGTGAAAGTTGTTCTATGAAAGAATAATCACTTTGTTGTTGAATATCTTGTATATCTTCTATGCTAACAATAGAATAAATATTCGAGTTAGTTGAAGCATCAGAAGTAATGTCAACTAAGTCTTCATTTGTGCAATTAATAAGATCAACTCTTTGATTGAAAAGAGTAGTTTTACCAGGGCATTTACTAGATAAATGGCCTTCTTTTCCACAAGCATAACAAGTAAACTTGTTATAATTCTTAGTGTCTTTGTATTTTCTTACATGTTTTTCCTTATTGAGTGTAGGCTTTTTGGCTCTAGACTTTCTAAGAAAATAAGACTTCTTAGGCTTTGTATATTTCTTGGCTTGTTTTTTCTTAGGAGTCTTATCATAAGTCTGAGGAGTATAGATAGAGGAACAGAATCCTGTATCTTTTTTCTTYAACTCTCTCTGTGTTTGGATCATGGAACATTTAGTTTTAAGATGATYTATGATTATCTTAGCTCTAACTGTTGCATTATCCCATTGAGCATCAATGGTTGGTTGATCTTGCTTCCACTTAAGTTCTATTTCTCTTCCCAATTCTCCAGGTAATTTTGTAAAAATCCTGTTACAAACATTTGTATCATAATAGTTACCAGAAATAGCAGCAAGATGAACAAAGTCATTTAGAAATAAAACAATCTTTTTCCAATCATGGAGTTGGAGTTGTTCTARATCTCTGAGTGCTTCATTTTGTTTAATAGATAAACCAGATAAGGTATCACCACCATTAATAATTCGAAGAACTGTTGAGGTGAAATTCCTTATGTTATTACCT